ACACCGCCAGTAGTCACACAAGAATGAGAAGAAGTGACACACCGCCACCGCCTCCAGTTCAATCCCATGGCCAACGGGATGCGGCCACAGCCCGCAGCCAACGCACACCAAGCGAGCAATTACCCAAGGAGCCACACGCGGAAGCGGATCCTCATCCATCCATGACGCGGTGCCTCGCTCCATGCGGTCACACGGAGCACACCATTTCCCCAATAGAACTTATCCTTCGTCCATCCCTTAAAGATGCTTCTGTTAGTGATGGCCCTAGAACACAATAGAAGAAAACAAGCAATGCAGTAGTACTGCGATACCACCAGCCACAATGGTTTTCTCATGCCGGGCAATTCTCCAATTACGCCTCGTATCCACACACAATCAACATACTATGCGGAAATCAACCAATGTTTTTCACCAGAAACCAAGCAACCCCATTCCCTCCCCAACTTGTTCCTTTCTATTTCGCCGGATATTCCACACTTCGGAGAGCTTCGTCCCTTCTAAACCCTCCGGATGATATTGACACTCGGTACTGGCGCACCTTTTCCCTCCGGAACGCCGAATCTCACGGCTTTCATCCCCACTCACACTGTTTGGATTGTCGACATCACATCTCCGTCAGTCACTCATCGGCGTGCTGTCTGCGTGCTGCACATAAGTGATCTCCCACGACATGTCTCGGGATAATTCCTCCCAGCCATTAAAATATGCCGCCAGGCGCTCAGTGAAGTGCCTCACAGTGCTGGCTCTGGTGTGGTGCCCACCCACCGCAGTCATCCGCAGCCCAACCAGCGTCTTCGGGTTTGACTCCGAAAAGAAAAAGCCGTCCAGCAACGGAGAGTTTGGAAACGTCGGTAGGTACGGCAGCCGATAGTTTAAATCCTGCGGGCAATCAAATAATTCCAGTTCGGTTATTGCAGCTGCCTCGGTGGGGTACCCTTGAGGGTTTAACGTTGGCACTGAGGACCGAGGCTTAGAAGATGGTGGTGGCTGCAGCTCCTTGAGTTTCGTCACTATTGCAGTGACAAACCCCACATTCAAGAATGCGTTCAAAGCATACTTTTCCAAAGATGCAGGGAAAAAATTGTCCCTCATCCCCAATAGTAGAAAAAAAAAATCCCTCGCACTCATTACCTTTGCCAAACGACATGATGTTAAACCCCAAGATAATCACATACAGGTGCATTCATAAAGTCCTCAAATTCATCTTTTTCTCTTGCTCGAACAATCTTCACAAGTTTTTGAGACGGATTTCCACAACACCATTGATCTCCTCCTCGTTGTGTAAAGTACTTTCCTTGATCCCGAATATTGGTCCATCTCAAGGCCCTCACAGCATCCTTCGTGCGTTTTCCATACTCATCCGCATCAAAGATGTGACGTGGAATCGGCCCCAAAAGATACATGTGTTTTTCAACCATCTTCCAGCATTCCACCTGTTTCTCTGCAGTCTCATCACGCTTCATCCAGTCACACATCGCCGTCACATCCATCTCGTCGGGGCAATTCACGATGATTCGCACGGCTTGCAGTTGCTTCGCCCACTCATCATAGTTGGCTACCTTTGGGAATGACACCGCAATCATGCCCCATGCGTAAGAGAGCAAAAAAAAAAACTGCGCTGGCTGTGTTTCTTTCTTTGCCACATCGTAGATAATATGCCCTTTAGTCTCACGCTGCCTTAAACTCCTCACAGCCATGATGCATTTTTCCTCATCGACATATTTTGTCACCGTCTGGATGGCCTTTTCAAACATGTACGCCTCACCTTCACCAAAACAGTAGACAACAAATTGGAGTTTCTCGACATCACAGTGCAGCAGCTGGTAGAGAGGGCACAAACCGGCAGCCATCGACTCCCGATCCCGGGCGTCCCAATCAACAGACGCCGCACGGATGAAGAATTGGTACTTAAGTCCAGTGTGCTCAACCATCCGGTTAGATCATTCCTGACGGTCTGCCACACTCGCTCCACCTCACAGTTCACATGGCAGCCACGAGTGGATTCCGCCCCCTTCAGATTCCACGTGTACGGCCATCCCTTGTCCGAGGTAAGCACCATCAGCCTGGGACGCGGTGCACGGGATTGCTGCGCACCGTCATCCTTTTCGAGGGTTCGGCCAACTGCCCTGTACGTCCATGACTGCGGTGGTTTCCCCTCCCTCACATCCATTCCCGTCCCCTCGCCGTCAGAAACTTCCACGACATGATGCCACCTCGCATTGTACACAGACTCGTAGCATCCCTCCAGGTACCTCGGTGCACTCGACTTCTTTGATTTACTCGCTTCCTCGGCGGCTGCGCCAAAAAACGGGTGAGTGACTCCATGAACACTTGCTTTTACCTCCGCAGCAGCTTCTGACCACCTCAGCAGATGGTTTACACAGTTTTTGTAAAGCCTGCGTAATTATTCCATATCCACTTCATCCCTCACAGCCCTCTGCATCCTCACGTAATGATCTGATGCCTGTATTTCGCCCAATACTCCCGCATCGCGGATATGACTCGTGGGATCCTTAAAACAAACTCCTGCATCGTGACGTTCTCATTGGTGTCCACAACCCACTCCTCGTCCAAGTTGCTCCGAAGGAATTCACTCAGCCACATTTTGGCCATTCCAGTGTTTCCCTCCAGCAATATTTCCTTTACGGTGCTGCTGATGGTCCACTGCGGTCGCTGCCTTTCCTCCTCTCTTCCGCGAGTCGCAGCGGGTTCATCTGTCTCACTCTCAAACCCCTGCCTTGCTCTCCCCAAACCATCTCCCTGCGGCACAGCAGACACTAGACTCTCGGCATTGCCACCTTGCAATCCATTTTGCCCACCAGGCATTTTTTCTCCCTTTCTTCGTGTCTGGATTCAGTTAAGGCTCAACACTAACCACCAAACAGGAGGAGAATAAGAGAGAGATGGGGTAACTAGGCACAGAAATGACTGACATCCACGGCAAGAGAGTCAACCACATAGTGTGCGAAGCACACCACATGCACAGGCACCACCGCAACGACGGCAAGCGGGCACCATCAGTCCGGCACAGTTTTGGAAAAAGCCAACAACAATAACAACGTGGTGAGCGCGGAGGGTTCGTCCATGCATTCCGCTCGCTACGGCCCCGCACCCGTGTGGCACCGCCGCCACCGCACACACTTGACAAAAGAACGTCCGTGCATATCGCCCATGACAAACCCACACAAGTGGGAAGGAGAATTCGGTGCAGCAACGGCCAAACGTAGAGAACAAAAATCACACACGCCACAACAGAAATGCATCATGGTAAGCTCCCCGCACAGGGAAAATATATATGTATATATGCATATATTTTTTTATGGAAAATTTTTGCAATTCGCACAGCACAAAAGATTGCCATGACGTTGCCTTTCTTATTGCATTCGCCATTCATATTCCCAATGCGTAGCTCCGCGGATGTTGCCCCTCCATGGTGAAAACAGCTGCCTCGTTGTGGTGTCATCGTGCAGCCATCCGCCTGAGTGGGAACGAGAAGAAACTCAAACTTCCGTCCACATGAAAGGAGGAGGAACTCCACCGCAGAGTCCTCCACGACACAAACACTCCGCGGCCAGTGTCCGGTGTCGTGTGCGGACTCCGCGAGAAGGTTTTGGGCACGCCACTGTGCCACACGGTGTGTCCCCTCGAAACACAACAGCAGGGGTGTTCCCTTCCGGTCGCACTCGTGGCGGTGGCGGCATCCGCTGCCTCGCTGCGTGCCACTGGCGTCGGTTACGATGCTGCAGTGAGAGAGAGAGGGTGCCCGGCAGAAGCGGTGCCGGGTTGGTTGGCAAAGCCCTTCGCGGCGAGACACCCAGCGCGACTCTTGACCGCGGCGCTCACGCATTTCCCTCCACTCCCTCCATCCGGCAATCGCACAGCCACCGGCACATTGTCCCCGAAACAACACACACGTAAAAACGTGGCAGCATATTCTCCGAGAACAGAGTGGCAGCCACACGCTGCGGTCATCGGGCCGACAAGTCCGGTGCGGATGCACCATCACGCGCATTCTTCTGTAAATGTCGGTGCTTTGAATGAATACAAAAAAAAAAATAATTTTTGAACGCGCAAAAGGTAACAGCTGTTGCAAAGAATCTTCCGTAATCGCCTCAATGCCTCGATCATAGTTTAAGGGATGAGCAAAGCACGTGGAGTCAACGGCCGAATACAAAAGTCATGTACAGCCAAAAAAATAGGCGTGGAAGCTCATGTGTTCAAAAAAAAAAAAAAAAGCAAACCATAAATGTAAGTCCAAATAAAATGCACAACACCATCAAAGGAGTATTCGCGTTACGTATTGTCATTGTTCTCCCACGGGCAGTAGTATCAATGACGGTGGCATCATGATCGCGGTATTCGCTGCAGGGTGGAATGCCTGGTGGCGCCAAGCAAATATTCAATTCCTTTAATATTTCGGCACATCCATCCAAAATTGAATTAACACTACATTGTAAAATTAAGGGTCTTCCTCTAAACTAAGGGGGACGCAGTATCGTAGCGGTGGAACTCTTCCACGCAAATGAGCGTAAAAAATAAACAAAATAAAAATAAAAATAAATTTTGTATTTTATTCTCAGCGTAAACCAATAAACACAAGAAGACGTCACAAAGTTGCACGTATCATGGCTTTTTATTGTCCGCTATTTTACCTTCGACCTCCATCTGGCGGTGCCCTTTCATCGTTTTTTCTCCCTTCTTCCGTTAGAGGGGCGCACTGCTGCTACTGCTACTATTTGGATGTTAGTCGTGCCGGCACCGCCTGGCAAATTACTACAGGCTTCAGTCAAAAAAAAAAAAAAAAAAATCTTTTTTTTCTTCTTCTCTTTTTCACGTCGCTTTCTTTGAAGGCGTTGCCGATGCCTGCATCGTGGTCCCAGTTTTACGGAGCCCTCGCCACCAACACCAGTGCCGGTGAAAGAGGCGATAATGACAAGTGGCCAGCAACAACAACAAAAAAAAAGATCCCTCCAAGTCTCAGCAAATGGAAGATGACACGATTAGAACGGCTGCTGCAATGTTAACTGTTCTCCCTTTTTAACGTGCTTATTTGTTTTTAACACCCAAACACCCGGATCCTCGGAACGCCGCCGCTGAAAATGCCTCGTGTACAACAAAGGAGCTGCCTTTCGCAGAGTTTGAATGCCCTCCGCATCACACCGTTGCAAGACGAGATTCGCCCCCGTGGTGGCTTTAGAAAGTGTTGCATCAACTAAAGGCATCACCGAGAGAGAGGGACCGTCCTTTTGCAACTGTCTGCCATCTTTTGACAGCCGAACCGAGTGAGTCAAGGTGTATTCAGTCATTGACAAAAAGAGATCCAGTGGGGGCGTAAGACTGTGCTGAGACAGTAATTGAAAAAACTCCACCGCACGACTTCTGTCATCGCAACTAATTGAAGCCGAAGATATTTGCTGAAGTTGCCACTTTGACCACACAGATGCCCTTCGGTACACATTGAGGGCGAAGTAGAGAGCCAGACAAAAGACATCGCATAAGGCGTTGGTCGCCCCGGGCGAAAGAAGGGTGAGGCACACCTCCCGTGGGGGCATCAGCCCCTCCACATCGTCATCATGCAGAGCACCGACTGTCCAAACAGCCGTGTCTGGTATGGTTGCCAAAGGAGAGAAGGGAAGAAGATCCGTAGATGTGCTGAGCGAAAGAAATGGCGGAACACCATGAGACTGTTGGGACCGCAGGCAGGGATGAGTACCTACACCAAGAGGTCTCAAGTAACGTAAACACTTGTCTTCATCTTTAGCCATGTAAAGTACCCGACCAATTCGATGAGAACGACGTCTATTCATCCAAAATCATTTCACCTAAAATCAATATTGACGTGTATATGTATAAACATGTATGTGGAATAAATAAAAATAAAAACCCGTAAGAAAATAAAACAAGTAAAGACGCACACAGAGAAAAGGAAAAAAAAAAAAAAAAACAGAGTGAAGATAACCCCTATTCTCGTATTCTTTTAAATAAATAAAAAGCACGTGAAAAATGGAAACCTATACCTAATCTTGTGCATATATATATATATATATATACTTATTTATTTACTCGATGTGTTAATGCTGGCCAATAAAATCTAATGAAAGTCTTGTGCTTATGCCCATGCCTTGAAGCTCCTGTAGAAGCAGCTTGAACGCATAGGGAACGTTTACATGTGACACTGTGTTCTTTGTATTACAGTACGGACAGTAACCACAGTACCCCAGAAATCCACACGAGCGGCATGTATCCACGGTAAAAAGATCGGAGCTAAGAAGTAGTCGTTCGTTCAATAGATTTGAAGCACCATAACCAACCATGCAATCCCGTTCCATTTCGCCCACGCGAAGACCACCACTGCGAGATCTACCCTCCGTCGGTTGTCTAGTCAACATTGAACGTGGACCGGTGGCACGAGCGTGCATCTTATCTGTGACCATGTGTTTGAGACGTTGGTAGTAAATAGGGCCAAAAAACACATAAGCCTGCATGATCTCACCCGTAATGCCGGAGTAAAATACATCCTTCCCATGGTAGTTAAAGCCGTTTCGTAGCAGGTGCATGCCCAAATCCTCCGCATTGTCTCCGCCAAACGCCGTACCATCTCCAAATGTACCCGTAAGAGCGCTAACCTTTGAACTAACCAACTCCAGTAGCTTACCGACTGTCATTCGACTCGGGAACCCATGGGGGTTCATGATCATATCGGGGCTTATGCCCTTTTCATTGAAGGGCATGTTGACTCCATCTGTGATAAGACCAACAACACCCTTCTGGCCGTGCCGTGACGAAAATTTATCGCCCGGCTCCGGTACACGAACCTCCCTTGTGATAACCTTAATTTTCTGCTCCACATCCATCGAGCGTTCGGAGTCACCGGGAGGCAAAATAACCACGTGGTCCACGACGGCGGGCTGGGGGTACTTGTACACAAGAGGATTGGGTCGGGGCTCCAAGGATGCCACCGGTGTATACTTGTTAACTAGAATGTCAAATTGGCGCACAATAGCCCCTTTGCTGGCAATGCCATCACTGTTAAGCGCCTTGCATTTGCCAGCATTGGAATCAGGGGGAAGAATGATTTCGTACTCCCCATTTGGAAGCCGTTCCAAATCCACCTCGTGCTTCCGAAGAACGACGCATCGACCATAACCACGATCAAGTGAGCAGCGGTTGTACACCTGAGCGTCCTCAATGTCATATCCACTGTAGCTCATGACACACAC